TGAAAAAAAACCTCTATTAACATCATTTTTCGTACTTGGAAGGAATAATGTCTACGTGATTCCAGCTGACATTACCGATGAATATGATTCGGATTCAAAACAATTTCATTATCCTTTACTTTTTGAAGAAATGAGGCCTAGAAAATTTGATATAAAAAAATATCAATATCCTATAATGTGTCTTGCAAACATTCAATCTACTGAACAAGATACTTTTCGATTAACTTTTAGGAGTAATAATGGAAGCATGCGACGAACAATGGATGTTGCTTCATTATTTAGTGAAACAATCATTACAAACCTTCGATCCGCCATTGATACAATAACATTCTGGTGGCCATACTCCACCTACACACTTGGTGCACAAACATCCATTCCAGCCGAAAGAGTTAAACCTCCTAAGCTTGAAGAAATGGTAGTTCAAGAAATTGGAATAGAAAGAATGATTGAGGCTCAATGTCATGCTCTCCGAATATCTAAATCAAGAATTTTATTCTCGTTTGAACACATTCTTGACATAGAAGGTGTTGAATTCAGACGAAGTTTTGGTAATTTACTCTACGTATTTACGTTGCATCCGCCTACGGAAGGATCATATAGTAGTGCTGAATTATTTGCTGTGCTAAGTTCACTAAAGCATCATCCGTTATTATACAAGTTAATTTTACGGAATATAGATCTTTCCGAACTTCAAGCTCAAACCGGACCAATCAATCACGAAGGATCAAACATGCTTTCTGTAGTGTTATATGATATCCTCACATTAAATCCAAGATTAAAAGTATTAGATTTGACATCATGTGGAATTACTGGTGAAACAATGTCAGTTATTGGGAACGCATTCTCTACAGGAAAATCTTTGTTAGAGAGGTTGATCCTAAATGATAATGACATATCAGAGGAAGGTGGATTAAGAGAACTATCATCTGGATTAGCTGTTCACGGATCATTAATAAAAGAGCTTGATATTTCAGACTGTAGATTAACGAGTGCTGATACTGAATCAATTATGACTGCCTTTACTGCAAGTTATCCAGAAAGATTAGAATCGTTTAATCTTTCCAACAATACGGGGAACTTTAAAACAGAGATACTAACAAACTTTTTGTTAAGAGCAATTAATCTAAAAGTATTAAATTTACGTAATTGTGACATACTATTTAGCTATGCTAATATAGTAATTTCGTCAGAAACATTAAGAAATACACAACTTACAACGTTAAATATTGGAGGGATTTCTTTAAATAATCACGATCATTTAAACGCACTTTACACTTATATTCAGTCTCCATCATTCTCAAAACTAAAACATCTTAGTATTGATCATTGTAATTTGGACGGTGGTGCACTAGCAAAGATATTTTCTTTAATAACAGCATCTACAAATTATGAAAACATTAAAGTTTTTGCAGGTGGAAATTATGTATCAAGAACCTCTCCTGGGCATAAAGAATTTTGTAATGCCATTTCGAATGATTGGACACCTGTTTGGCTTTCTCTCGAAGATACAGACTACGGAACAACTATTGACCAAGTTGTTGAGGTATTGACATCATTTTGTAATAACAAAGTGATTAGATATTTAGACTTATCATGCCCACAAATTAAAGTCAATAAGAATGTTGCTTTTAGTCTACAAGATTTCATGACAGCAGAAAAAGCTTGTGCAGTTATAGGAAAAATATTAAAGGATAACAAATTCATCAAAGCATGTGTCTTGAATATAACAATTTT